GCATCGGGACCTGCTCCGAGACCGGGAGCGGTGCCGAGAGTCCATGCTCGGAGATGGAGGGCGTAGCAGGGCAGGCTTGCCCCTGGATTGCACCGTGCGGAGCGGATGCGGTGCCGTGGTCTGAGACGGTGCCAGTTCCGTGAGGGCAATGAGGTCTCTCGCCGTTGCAAACGTCTCTGGCGTAGACGGGAGACACAGAATGGGGCGGGGAGCCAGTCCGCACCGGACTCAACGGCCCTACTACTGGTGCCGGAGTTAACAGTGTCGATGATGGCACCTGTAACCTCTGACGTTCCGATTCCGGATGCGACTCCGCGGCCACTGCGTGGGGCGCCAGTGCCTGCTGTTGCGTGGCAGTCTCCTGTGTTTTATGGGGTCTCTTGTGACCGGGAGACAGGGAACGGCGCCGAGGGGCTTGCAGCGGACGCGGTGCCGATGGAGGACGGTGCCGTGGGGTCTTATCTGCGTCTCCTCGTGGTGCAGTACCCGAGGCCGCCGCTGGGGCGCTGCGCACTGAGGCGTTTGGTGCCGGAGCTTGGCATGCCGAAGGAGGGTCTGGGCTAAGTGCCGCCTCCATAAGGAGCTGTTTAAGGCGAAAGTCCCGCTCCTTTTTGGTCCTGGGCCGAAAAGCCTTGCAGATCCTGCACTTATCAGTCTGGTGAGACTCCCCTAGACACTTTAGACAAGAGTCGTGGGGGTCTCCCATTGGCATAGGCTTAGCGCAGGTCGCGCACGGTTTTAAGCCAGGAGCCTTGGGCATGAGCCCGGCTGCACGCCGGGGGAAAAGGGGGAGATGAAAACCCCCTTATCCCCGCTAACTACTTATAACTACTCTGTATCAGCTAGTAAACTACTAAACTATACTAAATCTATAACTATACAACTAACAACTATCTACAACAATAACTAACAAGGAAAGCTAGGGAGAGTGGAAGACAGCTATGCCGCGGTCCACAGTTCCAACGACCGTCACGGGCGGTAAGAAGGAACTGAGGGGGCGCTGGGTCGGCTGGGGTATATATCCAGCGCCATGAAGGCGCCACTCCAGGGGGCTCCCCAGCCGACCCACTGGGTGTTGCTAGGGTAGAAAATTTTCTGACGATCGTGCACACGGCGCGCGCACACCTAATTGGAATCGATATGAGCAAGCACTCGAAGAAGAACAATAATGCTACAATTTGTCTCTCCACTCTTGTAGCAGTTATGTGCTGGATAAGCAACACTTTCTTGTCTTGACACACATGTTCTTCTGCCATGCTCTCTCATCTTTGGTCTGCTACTGCCTGCATGGACATATCATTGATTAGGTGGCAGACTCCCACAGGACAACTAGCAACAGCTGCTGCAGAGTACCATAGTGCTAGTTTCAGAGTAGCAGCCGTGTTAGTCTGTATCCGCAAAAAGAAGAACAGGTCCTCCTGTTCTTCTTTTTTCATAGTGCTAGTGTTGAAGCTGGCTATAGAGGCAAATGGCAAACTAATTATAATTGATCTAGTTTCCTGATGCAGTCAGTACTACATGTAAAGTGCTTCTGTGCTTGAGCTCGTTGCTCCTATGTAACTGCTTCTGACGCTGCAAGGAAAGGAGAAGAAAAGAGGAAGAAAATGAGAGGATTGGAGGATGAGCAAATGCAGAGGGTTGGAGATAGGGGTCCTACGGATGGTCCACAAAGATTTTTAACTTTGAATTATATGGGACATCAACATTCAGAAGAAACTCTGGGTTAGGGTGATTGGACTTTTTAATTAAGAATTCCCACGGGGAAAGAACAAGTACAATCGTCACATGCATTATTGGTGCTTTGATAATATTTATCTTGAACACCTCCTTTCTTAAAATCCCAGAGGAAATAATGTATTTTAAAATGTCAGGTCAATTTCTATAGCAAGTCCAATCCAGTCTAGTTTTACTTGTCTGAGATTATAATAGCCAATACATGGGGGATGTGAAATAGAGGGAAAAGTGTGGATGGGGAGGGTAGCAGTCTAAAAAGAATACAGAGAACACCCTTTCTTCTCCTAAGGTGAAAATTGTCATACTTTTTGGGGGGGTGCGAGGGGAGGCTTTAAAAGCATTTTTGGGGATTTTTTTCGGATGCAATCTGCCATCTTAAATCCTCCAGCCAGTTTAACTCTTCCTGGGATTTCTATGGTGCTAGCCTAACTATGATCTGTTAGGCATGCAAGGTGGGTGAGTGATGCTTAATAATGACAGGCAGAATGAGGGAAGGTATGGTATGACTGCTTAGACTTTCTGCATATTTGCATCTGAAAGGTCATAACTGAATTCCAGATGAAAGGACCATAGCAGTCCATATGGCATTATGGTTCAGCTGCTATGCTTTTCCCTATGGACTGATCTACACTTAAAATGCTACAGCTATGCTGCTGTAGTGCTTCAGTGTAGACACTGCCTATGCCGACGGGAGAGATGCTCCAATTGGCATAGATAATCCACCTCCCCAAGAGGCAGTAGCTAGGGCCATGTCTACACTAGAGAACTTACAGCAGCACAGCTGTAAGATCTCTTGTGTAGCTGCTCTATGCTGATGGGAAAGAGCCCTCCTGTCAACATAATTACTCCACCCCCAATGAGCAGCGGTAGCTATGTCAGTAGGAGAAGCTCTCCTGCCAGCGTAACGCTGTCCACACCAGTGCTTATGTCGGTGTAACTTACATCTCTCAGAGGTCTGAAAAAACATAAGTGGCATAAGTTATGCCAATATAAGTGGTATCGTAGACATAGCCTAGGTCAATGGAAGAATTATTCCTTCAACCTCGTGCTTTCTACACAGCGGGTTAGGTGGGTATAGCTAAGTTTCTCAGGGATGTGGATTTTCACACCCTAAGAGATGTAGCTATACTGATGTAAAATTCTGTGTAGACCAAGGCTATGCCTCTTACTGACTCTGTCACTTTTCCCCCCAGGGAAGAATATTGTGCAGATGAATTCTGGGCTTTTCAGTTTTTCCATATCTGGCATTTGATACTGTTGGAGACAAGATAGAACGGGGGTTTTCAAACTTCATTGCACCGCAGCCCCCTTCTGACAACTAAAATTACTACATGACTCCCGGAGGGGGGAACTGAAGCCGGAGCCAAAGCCCAAGCCCCACCACCCTGAGTGGGGGAGAGGGGGCAAAGCCAAAGCCCAGGTCCCACTGCCCCAGGTGGGGAGGCCAAAGCTGAAGCCCAAGGGCTTCAGCCCCAACAGGGAGCCTATAACCTGAGCCCCGCCGCCTAGGGCTGAAGCCCTCGGGCTTCAGCTCTGGCCCCGGGCCCCAGCAAGCCTAAGCCAGCCCTGGCAATGCCATTAAAATGGGGTCGCAACCCACTTTGGGATCCCAACCGACAGTTTGAGAACTGCTAAGATAGAAGATGAGATGGACCATTGCTGTCCTGTATGGAGTTCCTGTTTTTTTCCCCACGTTAAATACCAGATTGCTTCAGTTACTGGAATGGCCAACATTGGATGATATTGTCAGAACAAAGATCACAAGGGATGTTGGACTGAATCTGGTCCTTCATAACCTTTGTTCCATGACTTCTTTCGATGAGAGTTCCTTCGGGGTTGTCTTTTGAGCTTGTGCCTAAATAAGGGATATAAAGCAGGGGCTGAGCTATTGCATTATGAAGTCTACCTTTGTCAAGTGTCCTTCTCCTGTCCTGTGACAGAATTCAACACACTGTGGTATCTGGGTACCACAGAACTTAGAGTCAGAGTCCCAGTCTTCATGTTAATAGCTAGGCTGTGAATATTTCGATGGAGTTCCATATCTGCAATTTTCCTTTCACTTCCTGTCAGGTTATGGTGCACATATGTAGTGATTGTTCCCAGACATGTAGTTATCTTGAAATTGTGTTCAGATTTATTAATTAGAATTCAGGAGTCCTCTAACAGTTATGGTAGGGTATTTAGGAGCTATTTATACAAAGAGATGAATGGGTATTTTTTTGAGCTAATGTGCCTTTTTTTTTTTGCTTTCTTCAGTTCTCTCTTTTGCTTAGAGTATTCCCTGCACACTAAGTTCCATCTAGCTATAGAAACTTCACAACTTTTAAAAATATTTTATAAGAAATTGTGGTTAGGTTATCAGACTTGAGCATCTTTCAGTCTGTGAGTTTCTTGTGGGATGCCTTTGATATGAACTCTAAAATAAATACAGTAATGAATTGGAAAATTAATAGTCATTGAGCTGGATAATAAGATACAGAAGCCAAAAAAAAAAAAAAGCGAGGAGGAAATTCCCTCTAGATTACTAGGTTTCATGCAATCTGTACTTAGTTGTCCTAAAAACACTGTTAACTATGTAATGATTCCATAACTGGTTTGGGTCAAAATTGTTCACAACATTCTGTTCACACAATGCTTTAAAGCAGGGGTTCTCAAACTGGGGGTCAGGACCCCTCAGGGGGTCATGAGTTATTACATGGGGGGTTGTGAACTGTCAGCCTCCACCCCAATTCCCGTGTTGCCTCCAGCATTCATAATAGTGTTAAATATAAAAAAGTGTTTTTAAGTTATAAGGGGGGGGGGTCGCACTCAGAGGCTTGCTGTGTGAAAGGGGTCACCAGTACAAAAGTTTGAGAACCGCTGCTTTAATGGTACACCATCAACTTGAAAAATTATATATCTCTTTGTAAAAGTTGTATCTATTGTTGCTACAAGTAGAACCTGAATTTACTATAATGGAAAGAAAATAAATGGGGAAATAATTTTTCAGTTGATTTCCTTTATGCATTTGACAGTACTTTGTGTAAGTCAGTCAGTTTCTGCTGTTTGTGTGTGTCTTTCACGCAACAAGGGCAGGCAAAAAGTGTTTACAAATTAGGAAAATGTCACTGTACATTCACAGGAAGACTCAGCAGGTGTAGTACTTGAAACTACTTTTAACTCATATATTTTTTTAAATGACTGGATTTCAAGTTGGTGTCTCTTTTAAATTAAACTTGCAAGAATGCTTCAAGTGTAGCTTCTCTAATTGTTTCTTCTCATTACAGGTGGAGGCAAGCTACATTAACCAAAATAGGATATATCTAGTTTTTTTGTTTTTGTTTTTTTAAGAATTTGTTTCAAACCTGATAATTATCTTCCTCAAGGAATTCTGATTATTCTTCAACCTTGTTTATCATTATGGCTCTATCTTTTAAACTGCTGGACAGTGTCTTTCTTTCTAGAAGGTGCCATAGGCAAAATGCCTTGCATCCTTTGCTTGGACCTCTCCTCACTGATTGCATCTCAAAATTGTACAGTAGCTATAGGAGACCAGGGACATCCCCTGATAACACTCCACCTTGGAAGATGAATTTCAGCTTTGAGAAGGGAGTGGATGTAATTAAGAAAAATTTTGGCCTCCTAAAAAAGGAGTTGGTGGATCACTGGAAAGGGCCTGAGGGCTATCATTTTGACGAGTACTTGTTGCAACAGACTAGAGTGGTCTGGGAGTTTCGCAGCCAGAAAGATTTAGATGAGTGGGTGGTTTCTTCTGATGCAGAGATCGGAGGGAAAAGTGAAACCTACCTAAAACTGGGTAAGAATAATCAGACTGCTCTGCTGTATGGGACCCTCAGTACTGAAGTACCTCGTGATGGGGAGACAAGATACAGTGGATATTGTTCAATGAAAACCAAACTGCCAAAGGTGAGTATAACTTAGTGACTTAAGTTATTAACATTCAGTGTTGAATCAGTCAGCATTTCTCTGCAGTCAGGACTGGAGCAGTAGAGACTTGGGTGGCGATTCTCTCTCTAGAAGAATACTTTTTTGTGTCATGTTTGTTTTCTTTCCTCATTTAAATTAAATTCTCCTGGATGCAAGAAAAAGAGAAACAGGCTGAAGTTACATACTATGCATCTCAATCTTATTGCACAAAATTGACTTCACTCCACGCACAACTGGAGAAAACTCTATCCCTTGGGTGTTTGTTCTTCTGAATATGATAACTGATGTATTTACTTGGCATGCTGCAGGGAGCTTACAGATGAACTTTCATTATTCCACACATTTCACAGTCTGTCCATTGAATAAAAAATGCAAAACTCATATTATTGTGTTTTACTGGTGTTAGTTAATTAGGTTTCTGAATTTAAATTTATAACAACTTAATGTGTCAATTTGGCCAAAACAAAGGCAGCCTTTTCCCTAAGCTCAGAATCTCTTGAGACTTTCACAGGAAAATCTATTGCCCTGTGTTTTACAGCTGTACAACTGCTTGTCATACCAGCCAGAATAAAGTGGTCTTTTACTTGTTGCAAATGTATCAGAGCATCTGAAGGAATGAGACATTGCTGCATAAATCCATTCGGTGATGTAATCGCTGCCCTGCTCTGTGAGCAGGCTGAACGAAGCCTTAGTTCAGGGCTAGATCTTCGTTTTCAGGAAAGAAACAAATGACTCTTTTTTATCAGTATAAAGTGGGTTTCCTACTACACCTTGATAACTGAGTAAGAGACAACCTTGTGTATGGTCTCCCCACAAACCAAAGATCTCCTGCAACAAGTTTTGTATCCAGAATTGGTTTGTTTTAAATGACTGGTTTAGTGTCTAATCTGGAGTTAGTGTGTGTATACATATATAGCCAAATTGTCTAGGCCTTAACTCTAACGATGTGCATCCAAACTCAATTTTAGATCAGAGCACTTCTTTTTTTAGTGGAGTCAGGAGGGAAACAATCTATATTGGAATGTGCCTTTGTAAAGATCTGCACTTGGGTTCTGTAGTGTGTCAGAATATGCAAGGGACAAATCTTTTTCTGCCAAGAGACTGAACCTAGTTCTAACTTGAACAAAAAACAAAAAAGGTGATGTTTATATGGTTTACTATTGTCTGTTTCCTACACTCAGTGAGGAACTATTGCCCTTCCTATTTTACATTTACAAAAAAAGGTGGATGAACACCCAGTCAGAAAGTAGAGCTTAGAGTCAAATGTGTAAATAACACTGCTGTTGTAAAGCAGAATAAATAGGGTACACAGTTATCTCACTTCCTTAGGACTAGGGCCCTGGGGGATAGAAAGTATGTACAGGTCAGTCAAATGCTATGTTGACAGAAGCAATATAAGAACTAGAATAGGTAAAAATGGACCAAATTAAGTGTAGGGGTGAACACTTATGAACACGGATGAACTCATTCAAAGGGAGGCAACAAAGTCCAAAGAACAGAACACAAGACTTTCAGACGTGGATATATTCCCCCATCTGCCACTTACTTGCTGTGTGAAGTTAGCCTTGTTGTTTAACCCCTCAGCTCCTCAGTCTGTAAGAGTTACCCTCCTTTCCAAAGCAATTTGAGGCTAATTAATGAGGCATAAGGGCAAGGTATAATTTTTAAACTAAGGAGGATGCATACTGCAGCACTGCCACAAGCATAAAAAGAACAGCCCCAGCCTTCAGGCTAGCGTTAATATTATCTGTTGTCCATGTTACCTGAAAAACTAGTAAGCAGGAAGAAAATTGCTCCTAAGTAACCATGGAGTATGCCTCAAAACTGAGGGAAATTTAACATGTTTCTTTGGTACTGTCGTAGGCCCTAAGTGTGCAACTGTTCAGCAGAGGGAGGCTCTGGTTTCCCAGAGCCTCATTAATCTCAGTTGGGCTCCTTGTAGGTGCTTGGGTCTGCCTGTGTGGAACCAGTTGCAAGATCAGGGCCCTATCTTATAAAATAAAGGTGATGAGATAGGGAAGGTGTGCAAGATTCAGAGGAATTGAATATTTATATGGATAACAAACGTCTTGGCATCTAACGCATTTTGGAAAGGATGGTAGTTATATAAAAGCTAGTTTCAGGGCTTAAGCCAATTTTTATTAGGGATTAGAATGTGACTTCCATAGGGGGCAGATTGTCCCACATCTGCCATCTGTGAGGTTTCTTGCACCTTCCTCTGAAGCATGCTGGATGGAGCATTGGTCTGATGTGCTATGGCACCCCTTTTTATGTGTGGAAGTAAAAACCGATGGTAGGTCTGCTACCTTTAAGAGGGTAATCTGATGCTGGGAATGAAGTGTCACTTGTTATTGTGATTGAAGAAACAGCAAGTATGAGCCTTTAGACCATGCAATCCCATTTGAGGCCTCTAACACATTACTGAAATTTTGTGTGATTGAGTGTAGTGAAAGCCACTCACTCTAGCTTTCCTTATCCTCTAGTTTCCAGTAGGTCACAGTAGATAGCTTGGCTAAGGAGTGTCTAGAAAGGGGAAATTGATCAAAGTGGTAGTTACCTGTGGTCTTCGGAGTAGTAATTCTCATTGAAATATTGAGCTGCAATAACATGCTTTATTTATATCTTCTAGGGAGCGTTTGGAACTAAGAAGTATTATGATTGGTCAAACTTTAATAGTCTGTATTTACGCATTCGTGGTGATGGTCGACCCTGGATGATAAACATCTATACAAACCCATACTTCTCCCATCAAAAGGATGACCTGTACAATTACTTCATGTTCACCCGAGGGGGTCCATACTGGCAGGAAATTAAGGTAACTTTGAATATTTCCTGGGGACTGAGGAAGATTAATTCTCTTCAGTACTCTATTGCTTTAAAGATTGCTGCATTTATGCATACCAAGTTCTTTGGCTTATCAATACTAATAGAAGTTCCCCGAACAGCTATTCTCTGTTTCTATTGAGAAAACAGCTAGCTTATATAATTCTGTCTAGTCACATGGTCAGGTCATGGAGTTCCGCAGAGCAATCAGCAAGTCACCACAGAAGAATATAGGGCTGGAGCAAGCTTCAGAGGGAAACAAAGAATAAATTTGATCTGGTCTATCTTCTGCATATTAACTCCATGTATATGATTGGTACTATTGCAGGAGCTAGACAGAGCATAAAATGGGTTAAGCTTTATGGGGAAAGTAGTTCTCCTAGTATCGTATGTGTACATGTAAAACTAAAGTCCGTATTTCTTATGGTCAGATTCCATTCTCCAAGTTCTTTCTCTCAAGTCGGGGGAGAATCCAGGATGAACAGTACCCACTCTGGTTAGATAAGGTAAGTTGTTTCTGTACCTTACTATCATTTAATGAGAATTTCAGTAGTGTAACTGTATAAGTGAAGATCATTTAAAACTTTTCAAGGTATCTAGAGCTATATGAATTTGAAATTGCAGTATTTTTATTCCACAGATATTAAATATATATAGTTTCTCACCTTTCTTCTTAATTTTCCAAATTTAATTAAAATCTCTTATCAAAATAAATTTGAAGAGATGTAGTTACTAAGAATTAGTTGACAATTTATTGAGGCTTTCAGAGAGCCCTGAAAGAAACTACTGATGAGAGGAGGCAAAGTCCTGCACTGAAACAAAAAACTGTCAAAGAAAAGTAGATATAAATGGTCAATTATGGCAAGAAAGTGGGATATACTAGAACAGGTATTAAATATGTATTAGCAACCCCAAAAGGGTGTGTAGTGAGGTGATAATTGTAGCTAACAATTCTTTAGGATAGTCAAGAGAGAAGAAACCAAAAATTAGGTGAATAGCTAACACTGTTGCATATGAAATTCACTGTTGGCAAATGCAAGGTAAAAGACATTGGAAGCAAGGGGCTATTTGTACATCTTACTGGATTCTACGTTAACTAAGTCGAGAGAATGCTGGTTATAACTGAGGACCGGTCAATGTGCAGTTTCTATCAAAAGCAAACAAATAAACAATGTTAAGAGAAGAAGTGTCATTTTATATAGTACCCATTACATAAATCAATGCTGTGTATTCACCTGGAATACTGGGTTCAATTTAAGTACCCAGTTAAAAATAATACATAGTAGGGGGTTCAGAGAGGGGTGTTGAAAGTGATTAACAGCATGAAAACACTTCAGTAGTAAGAATGAAGAAATTGGAACTGTAGATGAGACATGGTAAAGATATACAAAATAGCAATTGATAGAGTAGGGAAATCAGATCAGATACAAGAACAAGGGGAATTAAATGAAATTAAAGCTTAAATGCAAACCTAATAGAATACTCAACATTACCCCATCAGACTCATTTCCACAAGATAGAATTGAGACAACAGGCTTAAGGTTTAAAAAAGGATTATATCTTTTGTATAGTTAATGAGAACATCCGAAGTTACATTAGTGAAGATTAAAAATAAAACCCAGAATCTTGTAAGAGAGGCCTCACATTTCAAGGCATTAGCCACTCTCTGTTTGAGGGCCAGGAAGAAACTATCAGAGAGACTAACATAAGCCATAATTGGCTACTACAAAATTTCATGCACTTTCCTTGGTCTGATTGGGTATGGAATTCTTGTATGTAATACCTGACCTTTCCTCCTTACATGCCCCCGGCTCCCCCAAATGGCCTCCATCCTTTTACCATTTTGCTTTGTGAAAACCTTTAGTAGTCTACTTAAGTCTGAAATCCTAAGTTACATGGAAATAGTCATTATGTCACATGGGAGGTTTGCCATGGATAAGTAAGTCTGCATTTTTAACAGTATACTTAAAAGCAGAAACAGAGAAATTTGCAGCATTGAAGAATTTCCCAGGTTAAAAATTCCAGGGCTTTTCCAGACTCAATAAAACACCCCTTTTTCCATATAGCTCAACATAGTTTAGAAAATACACAAGGGCCCATTATCACTCTTAATCACATTCTGTAGTATTAATCCAAAGAGTTTCAGGAGTTAATTTTGCTGTAGCAGCGTTGCACATTTGGATAGATTCCTGTTGTAACATGAATATGCCTGTGCAGTCAATGCAATGTATGGAGAACACGGAAAAATTTCCTAGGCTTTACTACCTTTAATCTCACCATTACTTGAAACCGTATCCAAATGAATAACCAATTTCTTTTATCAGATTAGTACTGTTGGATTCACATTGGGAGACAAGGCAGATGGCCCTTTCCAGCTGGAGATAGACTTTATTGGATTGCTGAAAGACAGAGCTCACACAGAAGAATTCGCCTATGAAAAATATGAAAAAAATCCCCAGGCCTAGATGGGCCTGCAATCCTGTGGAATGTACTTCAGTAGCTCATTTTATTAAATATTTATACACCATGTTAAACTTGAGTTTCTTCATGCATGGTGGGAGATGGAGTTCACATAAATATTAAAGAGTAACTGCATGAAGTGAGTGGGATGGACTCCATAATAAACTGAGCAGACTTGCAGCTTAAGAACATATGGTATTAAAGGTTTTTTGTGGCTTCCAACAGCCAGTTGCAGAAGTCCACTGTAAAAACAGACCACGCGAGATTATTGCTCTATTGTTGGGGAGATAGTTTCAAAGAGAATCAGGGTACAATAATGCAAAGTTATGTTAGAAACTGCTGTCTGGATATATTGTTCAGGCACATGCCTATTCATTAGAGGCAGTTTCTATCCCAAAACTGACAAGGTGCAATGCATAAGATAATAGGGGCTTACAATGCTGTAAGATTTCTTGGTTTGTATTTCATCTCACCTTTAGAATTAGAATAACCTTCCCTGTTTAATACTATTGCACACAGAAAACCATGGTCCTTTTCACAGCCAGAGGACTAACAGATGTTAGGACTGTTCCATAAATTGTGGAGCAAACTTCCCCAGGGCCCACAGAGGAGTAGACATGGGGGTGGACAGGAGTCCAGTCTCAGCTTTCCATTAAAAAAAAAAATCTGTCATGGTTACAAAGCAAATCTTCAAAACGAGCTGTGTAATGAATGGAGAGAACCTGAAAAGAGGGGGCGGAGGGAGTTTGAGGTGTCAGCTGCCACATTTCAATGGGTGTAGAGGTCTGTGATGATGATATTGACACAAAGTATTTCATTACTCAAAGCCTTTAAGAAAGGAGGAGAAGTATATGAAGGGTTACACCAGGATTCTCCAAAGTGGGGATTCAAAAGCTGGGAAAGGCCTACATCTCTTAATTTATACAACACCTAGCAGAGTGCGGAGGTGATGAGATTTTCCTGAAGCAGGTTTGGTTTTCAAAATGCATACATTTGTTTTAGGACAAGGAGTGCTGGGTTTCAGTTCTTCTGTAATCTGAGGAAAGGTTTATACTTAAAGGATTTCAATCAAAATAGTGTTCAAAAAGTGCTCAACTTAAAGTATAGAGAGGTAGAACAGTTCAGATGCTGTACCTGCTTATATTCCCTGCCAGTTTGAGGCATATTTTCCTATTTAAGTGTCTTTCTTCCATTTGTGTCAGACGCAGACAGTAAACTGATAGAACCATACACAATATTGTCAAAAACAAAGTAACAGATATTCTGTAACATTATCCCTCTGTCCCTGCTAAATTCTATCAGTAAGTGTTTCAAAATTCTAATTTAGGACATCCCAACAAGTGAACTGCATCAGTAAAAGTGATTAGGTGGACCATGAAGCTTGGCAAATGGTAATATATTCCTTTTCTTTAATGGAAGAGAGGATATGACCTGTATGTATGAGCACACCTGGCAATTGCATATGGTTAAACTTTAAGTGTCTGCCTGCCTGTCTCACACTTATTAATTAAGTCATAATCAACAGCATTAAATACAAAAAAACATTTATTTTCCCCAATTAAACAGTATAAAATTTTATGTAAAAAGCTTTTCTATTTCTGAATCTAATGTTTCAGCAAATATCACAGGAAAGGTTAAACCTAAACACAAAAGTGAGCCTATTACTTTGTAAATATTTGCTCAGAAGTCCAAAGAGCTGTAATGAAATAGCAACTACAGTGCCTCCTCCCCGACACCTTTCCCTGCGCTTCCAGTCTATTCCATGATGTTTAATGATAAAAATCAAGATGATTTTCTTTACAGATTACCTTTGGGAAATTGCTGATATTGCTGCTACAGGCTTTCTAAATCTACTCTAAGTATATCATACTTCAAAAGAATTTGGTTTACTAATAGAGTATCTTGTAAATGCTTCAGGCTAGACAACAATTGTTCTATTATGCCAAATTTTATCCTGTAATAAATGTGGAGAGGGACAAAAAACTAATGACTTGCTCTTCACATATTGGATTAGCAACCTACCAAGGTTTGTATTAACTTCTACTTATTTTTTTTCCTATTTCATTCTAAAAGAGTACCATTATTTAGGGCTTTTAGTTCTCCAGAAAGCCCTTATAATATGGTTTTCCCTCTCCTAGAGATTGTTGTTTACTTCACAAAGGACTTAAATATAGGAAACTGCTCTAATTGCTGCTACACATACCCTACTTGTCAGCGAGTCTCCCAGTGTCTTAAATTTCTTGATAATGGAACATATTTTGAAGTTATTTAGCATCTCTAGAGAAATATGCCCAACTGATAAGTGACTCAGTGTGAATAGGCTTCATGATTATCCCTTTAACGTTTCCTCTTTTCCCTCCCCTCCTCCCTTAGTATCTCTTCAGTCTAATAGTTTTATGGAATCTGCTGACTTAATAGGAAGCTTTTGTTCAAAATTTACAACCAAGAATATCCAGCCAATCTAAAACCTAACTGGATGAATGGCTCCAAGTAATTTGAGATACTCTGGGCTCTACTTAAAACATATTAAAAGATTTAAAGTTTCAATATTTTATCCAACTTGTAAAATCACTAACAATGTTAAGCTCAACAGCACTAAGAAAGCCTGCCCTACATGGCTAGTAACATCCAGTCAACTCAGGTGACCTGACTCATCCTTTAATGCAAACATATAAACAGAAATATTTACAAAGGTAGGAAAGATTTTTCCTGAGAACAGTATTTACAGTGAGGCCTTAAAACGTTACTAAATTCCTCCTAAGCCATGGATAGTCCTCTGCGGGTTCCAAGCAGCTGAGCCTTTTTCTGCTTTCTCTCCAGCAAATGCTTCTCACGCCTCCCTTCTCTGAAAGTGAAAAGAAAACAAATCACACAAAATTGGAGCAAATGAGCAATTAGTTGCATAGGCATAGAGATAACTATATGCATAAGCAATAACCCTAAGCTGTGAGCTATGCTTTGGCCATCCTGATGCTAAACATTTTGACAGAGATAGAAAAATTTCTCTTAACATAAGCATGGTTCAGGACAGAGCATTTATTTAAAAGTGTTGGCTTGTCACATATTTAAGTCTTAGTGTTCTCCTACAGAGTTCTAGTGTTAAAATGGCACCTAAAACACCCGTGTACTGACCTGGTCTGGAGACGTGGCTGTTTGTAATCTTGTGTGTGTGAAGAGACACTGCTATTCATAGATTTATTCAGGACAGTGTTTTCTTTTGAGTCACCCCAAGGTTTCAGTCTTCCTACATTGTAAGAAGCAAAAATAAATAAATAAATAAATAACAGACCAGCTAGTTAACATTTAGTAATTGTGTGTATTTATGTTGTTAATACTGACATTCTCATCCTCAACTCTACAGATAACATAAGTTGCCTGACTGCATCTAAGATCAAGCACAAACACCCCGGTCAATTACATCAATCTGGATACTAGCCAGCTATTTGGGGAGAGGGCTTTCTGCTGGGGGTGGTAGAAGCCTCCCCTCAGAACCCTGCCTGTGGGGTAGCATTAACTGGGGACTACCCCATAATGGAGCCCTCCCTGCCTTCCACAATAGCAGAGATCTGCCACCATGGTCTTTGTCTGACCAAATCCTTCCTGTTCCTTAATCTACTGTGCGCTGTTTTAGAGGGAGGGGAAGTGGCCTGGTTCAGGAGAAGAGCAGGCTCAGCTCCCTGCCATCTGAGCAGAAAGCTCTGAGTGGGGCTATCTTGACAACACAGCAGCAGACTTTAGGGTCAGCAGAAAAAACTAACCTTACTAACCTTTCATAACTGTTGTTCTTTGAGATGCGTTGCTCATGTCATAGAATCATAGAATATCAGGGTTGGAAGAGACCTCAGGAGGTCATCTAGTCCAATCCCCAACTAAATCATCCCAGCCAAGGCTTTGTCAAGCCGGACCTTAAAAACCTCTAAGGAAGGAGATTCTACCACCTCCCTAGATAACCCATTCCAGTGCTTCACCACCCTCCTAGTGAAAAAGTTTTTCCTAATATCCAACCTAAACCTCCCCCACTGCAACTTGAGATCATTACTCCTTGTTCTGTCATCTGGTACTACTGAGAACAGTCTAGATCCATCCTCTTTGGAACCCCCTTTCAGGTAGTTGAAAGCAGCTATCAAATCCCCCCTCATTCTTCTCTTCTGCAGACTAAACAATCCCAGTTCCCTCAGCCTCTCCTCATAAGTCATGTGCTCCAGCCCCCAATCATTTTTGTTGCCCTCCGCTGGACTCTTTCCAATTTTTCCACATCCTTCTTGTAGTGTGGGGCCCAAAACTGGACACTGAGGCCTCACCAACGTCGAATAGAGGGGAATGATCACGTCCCTCGATCTGGCAAAGCTCCTACTTATACAGCCCAAAATGCCATTAGCCTTCTTGGCAACAAGGGCACACTGTTGACTCATATCCAGCTTCTTGTCCACTGTAATCTCTAGGTCCTTTTCTGCAGAACTGCTGCCTAGCTATTCGGTCCCTAGTCTGTAGCAGTGCATGGAATTCTTCCATCCTAAGTGCAGGACTCTGCACTTGTCCTTGTTGAACCTCATCAGGTTTCTTTTGGCCCAATCCTCTAATTTGTCTAGGTCCCTCTGCATCCTATTCCTACCCTCCAGTGTATCTACCACTCCTCCCAGTTTAGTGTCATATGAGCATGCAGTCCACGCATCCTCCAGATCATCAATGAAGATATTGAACAAAACTGGCCCCAGGACCGACCCTTGGGGCACTCCGCTTGATACCAGCTGCCAACTAGATATGGAGCCATTGATCACTACCCGTTGAGCCAGACGATCTAGCCAGCTTTCCATCCACCTTATAGTCCATTCATCCAGCCCATACTACTTTAACTTGCCAGCAAGAATACTGTGGGAGACTGTATCAAAAGTTTTGCTAAAGTCAAGGAATAACATATCCACTGCTTTCCCCTCATCCACAGAGCCAGTTATCTCGTCATAGAAGGCAATTAGGTTAGTCAGGCATGACTTGCCCTTGGTGAATCCACGCTGACTGTTCCTGATCACTTTCCTCTCTAAGTGCTTCAGAATTGATTCCTTGAGGACCTGCTCCA